CAGTAGTGTCACAAAAACAGGAAAAGCCCAAGGGGAACATCAGGTCAGTCATAAAACAAACTTACATAGGAAAAGGAATCAAATAAAAAAGGTATTAAAGAATCCCTATAGACAAAAGCCTAAGTAATTAAGAAAACTAGACAAATAAGAAAAGGAAACAAAAATATAATTTAGAAAACCCTTACAAACACAGGACATACCAAATAAGCAAAACAAACAGACAAAAGACACAAAATATAAATTACAAAAGGGACAGATAGGAGATTGCCACAGAACAAATATGAAAAACTATCTTAAAGCTAAAAGAGATTAGAGAAAACCAATAATACAATCTGGCCACCCCGTGAAGTTTGCCTTTCGCACCCCGCAGAGTTTGCCCTCTGGCGGGAATAAAGACAAACTCAAACAGGATTTGAAACATTAAGCAAATATTAAGCAAATCCAAACATTCACACAAAATCAATTTACAAAGGGAGAAAAGGGTATAAAAACCAGGGACTTACCATAAGAAGCTAGCTAGCCCAGGAACGCAGGCTTCTCGCTGTTCCCCACCTTCCTGAAAAATAAAAAGATCCAGCTTTCAAGCAGTTGTCCGTATCCTTGCGCTGGAGCTCTCCCAGCGGGAAAATTGAATCCTCGAAAGAAAGGCATTTTGACACCTTTCAACACAGTTATAAAATAATGCATTTCGATAATAAATTCAATGAACTTTTCAATGAACTTTGGTGAATAATTGAACTACAGATTGGAAACCTTATTGAAATTAAACCATTCTTAGGGGTCAAAATTTCCCTCATGCTTTGTTTTATCCCACTTCAGCCCTGAACTGCTTAACTCCAATAAAGGCTCTTTCCTCCCATTTGCTGAAATGATCCTCACTCATCTCTGCATACTATGGCCATTCTCAGCCCCATCTGTTTCAAATCACTGTAGTCATCTAACAACTAAGAGGTAATGAGGCAACAATGTCTAACAAATTTTAAATACCTTGAGGTTGTCAAAATTGAGAAAAACACTGTCTAAACCATAAAGACACGTTAAGTCATCTCACTCATGGGCTGGAAGCAAACTAAAACGATCACCAAACGGGGTGGGGTGGGGGGGGTGTTGCCAGATCAGGACTGTGCTTTGATTAGATACAAGTGAGGAAGACCCATGAGTTTTTCCTTCGTGGCGCCCTTTATGGGTTAAACTACAATTCCTTTACTCCTCAGATAAGTTGATTGGATAAGCCTGATCTTTGCTCAGGTGGAGCAAAGTTGCTCGGATAGCAGAACGCAAACTGCGCGCTTGGCTCCCACGCAGGCCAAGTGGTGAAGCAAGAATATGAGGTTTTGAGAAGGGGAGGGGGAAGAAAGAGTTGAGTAACGTCGGTGAAGATTGGGACTATTCTGCGATTTTAATGTCCCAGAACTGCCACCTGACCATGCCTCATGACAGGGACCGCCTTCGGATCTGGGCGTGAGGAGCGCGTCTGCTGCCAAAGGCTGGCCGATGCGGTTTCTCCCATCCCGGGAACTCTCGGCGGCTCTGGGCACGGGTCGCTTCCGACGATGGCCCATAGCGACGAGGGGCAGAGGGTTGGCTCGGGGACCCACCGCGCGCCACCCCGACCTCTCGTCCTTCGCCCCTCCCTGTTGATTCCTGGTCCTTCCCAAGAGTTCAGCGGCAGCTCGGCTCGGAAGTAAGCCGAGGGGCTTACGCGCAAGTGCACGTGCGATCCAATTCGATGGTTCTATGACGTGAATTGGATCGCAGCCGCTTCGCGACTTCCTTTCCCGCTCGGACGCTCCGGCAACTCAGCCGAGGAGAAGGGAGGGTAGAGCGGACGCGTCAGGAAGGGAAAGGAAAGAAACCGAGGAAAGACCAGCGGAGACGGAGTTGAGCTGAGCTGAGCCGAGATTCAGCCCCGCCGGGAAAGAATCGCCCTCCTCCTTCCCATCCTAGCTCTGCAGTCGCCAACCCGGAGGCGCGTGGTTTGAAGGAGAAAGCGAAGGCGCCAGGTGGGTCTCTGCCCCGAAGCAGCTGCTTCCTCAGAAGTTGCCCCATTCCCCCACAAAGTTTGGGTAGCTCCATTACTCCGGATCTGCCACCTCGTGGCTCCTTCGCGACGGGGCGCGCTGGGCTAATAACTTGCAGAGAAAAGTTACTGGTTGTAGTTTAACCTCGCCCTAGCCCGGCCCACCCCGCCGCAGGCCCCTTTTGGAAGGTGGGACAGAATCGCCCGAAGGCTCTCAGAAGCCAGGTTTGCTTTCTTTGCCGAGCCCGACATCGTTTTCCTTCTTTTGCTGCCAAGGGCTACTGACTTGGATCCTAGTTAATCATCTCTCCACCTGGAACCAACGCTCTGGATTTTTGTTTTCCTTGCAGGGGCTAAGGAATTGGATCCAACTTGATCCTGCAGAAGGCAAGCTGACCTGAACAGACCATGCAAAACAATCGCGCTGAACTCCTTCATAATCAGGCCCTGCAGCCTTTACAGTGGCAGAGAGATCATCATCGAGAGGTCCGAGTGACTGTGCGGAGCTCAGCAATTCAACCCACTGCCTATGCTCCTCGACGACCATTGCTGAGGAAGACCTTGGTGGCAGTGGATATTGTGTGTTTACTTGTGGGTGAGTGAAGGATGGGGGCTCTGCAATTTCTGCCTACTAGTACATGACAATTGTTTTATCAAGAGACGTTTGCCACAGAGGAATGAGAAATGAGAAGGGATTAAATAATCCATTTCTCTCTGCAATAGAGATGATGGACCAGCTTATTTTGTGCTCCTTATGCATATAACTGGGCATTGTTGCATCTATCATGTTTCTTATCTGGACCAAGGGGAACTGGGAATCTCCAGCTTCCCACACTCTGGTATCATTCCCTGAGTAAAACCATATCATCTAGAGTCCCCACCATCCTGTGCTTGGCTAGAAATAACTAGAAATAGCTAGAAGGTTGCAGCCCAACATATCTGGTGCCTAATGGAGTATGGAAGGATTCTTGCAGTTGAATTGGTCTTTATCTGAAAATCTAGAAAACAAAGTTGAATCATTTCTGTTTTCACCTCTGGTAATTGTACATGCTTAATTTATGTGGCAGTCCATTTTATATTGGGTTTGGATAACTGAAGATCTGGTAATGCAGGACCAAACTTCTTATCGTATGGAAGAATCAGAGTAACCAGTATTGGGTGCTCCAACTGGGCATACCCAGTTGTCTACATCAGTCCAAGGCTGTTCTGAGTTGGAACATGCAGCTGAAACCACTGCTCAGATATTCATTTAATCCTCCACAGAGGACTTTAGCATCTGCTGTGGAAATTACATCACCATGAATCATAGTGGTCCACGGCTGGGATGGAGCAGACAGCTCTTGAGCAAAATCAAGTCTTCAGAAATAGCTTTCTGATAGGGTGTTAAGTTTATGACACTCGGTTATCAGGTTTACTTCCACTTTCTTGCTCTGCAAGGGCTCTGCTCTAGAGGTTGCTGTTGGGAAAGCAGCAACAGTGAGCCGGTGCCACTTCCTACAAGATATGTGGAGACCACATGGCAGTATCAGGAGAGATTGCAGTGGATGCCACTTTGCCCATTCTCCCCTCCAATGAGATAAACATCCAATAAACAGTTGCTTTCTCGCTACACAGAAAGTGCCTACAGAATGGCTCCCTGAAGGTTGAGAAGGTCTGTCAAAGAGGCCAACTGGGTAGCCATAGGTAAGTGTCCCACTTTGAGGAGTACTAAGAACCCTCAGGCGCTTTTGCCTTCAAGGGGAGGTGGCCATTTGGAAGTCAGAACCACACATATTTCTGCACATTTGTGCTTCCTGGTTAATGATCTTCTGCTTGTTGGTTAATAATTGTATAGAGATGAGAACAAATTCTTCAGAACAATGGGCAATCACAGCAACCAGGACTTTTTAATTCTTCACTATACCCACTGATTTGCTTCTCTCCTGGGCATTTCCCCCACCTCCTGCTGGACTCTTATAGTTAATCCTAGCTGTCAGGGGGGAAAAATACCTAGGGAAGAAGTTTGAAACCCTTTTCCACAGGTCACTCTCTGCAACTATCCTCAAACCAACATGGATATTAATAACAAACAAGAGGGCCAGGCCCCTTTTGGTAACACCTGATTCTGCCCTGTGGAAGTAAATCTTGGTTATATGACTGGAATACCTGGAGAAGTTTTGGGTCAAAATAAAGGGCTATTTGCGCCAAGTCTTTGCCTTTTCTGAATCCCATCAGAATTAAGCCTAGGATCTGGGTTGGATGAAATGTTTTGGGGCCATTGTTGCAGGAGACAGGGTCCTTTTAAAAAAAAGGGAACTGGACTTTTTCTTCTCCTTGAAGATATTTCGCTTCTCATCCCAAGAAGCTTCTGAAGAAAGCTTCCAAATGACCACCACCTCTTGAAGTCCAGTTACTTTTTGAAAAAGCACCTTTGGGGCAACCATGGTCTGGATGAGTAAGAATCTCCATAGACTAAAAAGGGGAAGTTGCTGGAGCCCAAGTGATAGTTTAAGATAACCCACTTTTGCGGATCATGGCAGCAAAGATCAGGTTTCTACTTCTGCTAACCATATGGTACCGCTCCAGTCCAGACTCCAGTGAGCTCAGTTCAGTCATATTTCTGCCTTCTGACATTTCCTAAGGCTCTACCCACGCAAATGCAAAGTTTACTATTGCCTCCAACCCTAGAGGCTGCTTTTTAAAATGAATGTGGCTTTTTCCAAGAAGCTAAATTCTATACCCTTGTACCAGGTTTTGTGCTTACAAACAGCTTCCATTTTATGCTAGATGGTTCAGAATAATAAGGAAACTTTCAGGCAGAACTGATGAGGGAAAGCTCAGTTTAAATCCAGCCCATCAGGAAATTTTGGCTTCTTCCTCTTTCAGTCACCTTCTGGCAGGATTTCAGCAGTGAGAAGTACAAGAGTATGCTTGCTCGGTACAAAGACAAGTGTTTGGTGTTTGGAGACAGATGTACGGCCATCAGAAAGGGCATTCATCAGAACGGCACAAGGGGATTATAGAAATAGAAATAGACAGAATCCTCGGGCTGGGAGGGATCTTGGAGGCCTTGATCAGCCCCCTGCCTAAGGCAGGAGACCTTATTTAAATCATTATGTCCTCATTCCAGGGAGATATTCCATTTTTACATTTCAGTAAGCCACTTTTTTCTTTTCGAACTGTGTTGTACATTTTTGAAGGCTAAAGAGTTGTGTTTCAAAACATAAAAGCTGAGGCAGACCACAGTCGAGACGAGGATGAGGTGTGTGTGTGTGCTCTGATGTTACTGAAGTCCTTGAAAAAATTCCTAAGGGACTTAGAAAGTCACCTGGTTGGTGTCCAAAGAAGCCGTATCTTATTTTATTTTTTAAGTAAAAAGTTCTGATACGAAAACATAGCCCAAACTAGATGGTCTGTTGTGTTCCAAGTTGACATGGAGCCTGAGAATGCAAAGGGGAAAGACAAGACAGACAGGCTGGAGCAAAGGGAAAGAATTATTTTCACTGTTTGCTGCCACTGTAGTGATATCAGTTTTCACTGACTTGAAGGAAGCCTGTCTTGGGGGACTTTAACCCCTTCAAGGCAGTCTGTATTTAATAATAATCAGAAGCAAGTATAGAATGTTGTCCAGATAAGGCAACTCTCGTGTTCCCCAAACATCATGTCCACCCATGCTAAACCACACTTTAAGTAAGGGAATGATGTTCCAAGCCATCATGGAGGCAGCAGGTTGGCAGGCTGCTTTGAAGTATTCAAAGACCTTCAGATCTTTTATCTTGTAGTTCTTAGAACAATCTTGTTATTCCCATCATGCGGATAAGGCTAAGAGAAGGCATTGCCTGAGGTCACCTAATGAGTTCCTGGCAGATATGAATTTTTAGTGGCTGGCTGTAGATCTGGGAGATCAAAGGTATCACTTCAGTTCACAACTGCAGCAGAACAAGCTATAAAATATGTGACCGCATTTGAAATGTGATTCTACCTTTACAAGTGAAGCAGAAAACATTGAACGCTAGGAAAGTACCCATTTTGTTCTCCCACAGAATTAGCTGTGAACAGGATCAGGTCTTTGAATGAGAGAACTGCATACTCTAGCCTTATTTTTCAACATAGTTTAATAATTAGGAATTCTATGTGGGAATTCTGGAAGTATTGTAACAATATTGGATTGCAGTCTAATGAGATTCATTAGGAAAAATACCTTTTTAATAGGTGCACGACAAATCTCAAGCAGCCTAGAAGAGAACGCAGAAATGAAATAAAGTAACATTAACTGATTCTAGGCATATTTAATCACAGCTTGAGGAGTGGGGAAATCTGATTCCCTAGGCAGAGTGGCTATTGTCTTTGTAACAACTTTGAATTAGGTGCTTGCAGATGAATTTCCTAGAAGACTATACTTGTTCATAAATTGTAGGAGATGGGATCTAGACTTTCTATCTCAGACACCAAAATATATTTTATCTTCCTTAATGCTTCCTTCCCTGTCCCCAATATATAGCCCAGTTTTTTTGTACTAAAGGTGTTCACCATGCTGGTTCTCTTTGTTGTAGGAGTTAGGAATAGAACCTTCATAAACATCACAGAGATAGAAAATGATACACTGTCTACCATATGCCAGATGAAAATAGGCACACCGGTTTTAGATTTCATTCAGAAATAGTTCTCCTGTGTGGTACGTATAATGAACTATTAGCATGTGCAAACATTTATTTTAAAAAATTGGAAATTGTTCAGGAATGGTTGCTTTAGAAAAACCACAAGACAACTGCTGCCCTGGGGTATCTGAAATGTCAAGGAACACTTTGGATTCATTTTTAGCTATTGCTGCTAACCTCTGTGATGGATAGTTGTTCTGTCTTGGGTGGCCATTATCAAATAATAAAGCAGGAATTCTACATAATAATAATGTGCACCATCTGATATAGTATTTGTAGAAGCTGCTCCTGAATCTTTTTGATACATTTCATTGGTTCTAGAATTTTGATGTTTGAAAAGAATATTATAAAATTTTCATCCAGTTTCTTCATAGTTCATAATTTTATAAATGTCTTATCATTCCCAGGCAAGTGCGTATCTGTAGTCAGAGGCAGGTAAGATAATGCCTTTGGGACAGACAGAATTAAACTGTCTATAAAGCAGGTCAGTTTGAAAGTTTGGGTGATCTTTCCTATAATGCTGGAATACTGGGAAATTAGGGGTCTTTTCATCCATCATGTTGTATCAATAATCCTCTTTTGACTCTATACTATTTTAGCCCAACATTAGGCATATGCTAGAGCCAGGTTGTTGGAAAATTTGGCCAGACCCCAAGAAGGTAATTTGTACCAAGGTTGCCTAGATGGACTGACATGGATGGCTAGTAAGGAGTTGGCTTGTTCAGGCCACTACTACTTCTACGGAATTTGACAGAGATCTGGAAGGAGCAAGAGTTTGGGTTGCAGGCAATTTGGCAGACTGGCAGTGGTAACAGTGGTGGTGGGTTGGCTGCTAGGAAGGAAGAGGCATTCAGAAAGTATCTCGGATAAGAATTGGATTGTCCTTCAGATGCTGACCCAGAAGTACTTGTAGCTAGCAAACTCAGGTTGGCTTGGGATAAAGGGAGTTCAAGGGTTG